TCTTTTTGTGTAAATTACCAAGAAGAAACTGGCTTCTATTTCATAGCTTTTTTAAAGTACAAGTAGATTTTTTCTTGCAAACCAGCAATTGTTAGTTACTACTGACTGCAAGGCTTTTTATGACATGGTAAAAACCCTCCCATTGGGTAGAGTTGCTTCCCAGTCTCTTTCAGGTGTAATATGTTTGTTGTAAACATAAAATTTGATGTATTCCAATACTGATTTCCTTGCCTTATTAAGTCGTCTTTTCCATTGAGTCAGGATGTCTCTTCAGTGTTGTGACTAGCATTAAGGTTATCATTTACCAAATGTGTGTATTTGAAATATAAATACATTTCATCAGAATCTACCATACAAATCCTCGATTATAATTTATTTTTTTCCAATTATTTGCTAACAGATTCACTAGTGACTTTCTCCTTTCTTTAAAAACTTTTATCAAATATTTGTAGACATGCAAAACAAGTAATCAATATGTTGTGACCCAGTGACCTAGATTGACTGATTAAGACTGCAAAAATTTTAATTAAAGTAAATATTTAATGAAATAGATTGCAGTGATGTCAAGTAATGTGAAATGAAATATAATTACGAAAAAAAAAATAATTTAAAAAGTGAAAACAAAGTCAGTGGACTTTCCTACTCGTATTTATTTAAAATGACAATGGAATCTTCCAATCAGTTACAACAGAATGGTTGCATTAAAATAATTGCTTGTGTCCTTCAAATACGATATTTTTGGGATGACTTCACTCGTTTTTACACATTTGTGAATCATTTCATGTCACTAGAAAATTTGACCTCAAAATTATAAGTTGAAGAGAAAGTTTATTCACACAAGAAAATGTGAAACTTTAAAGCAGCATGTATTTAAATTATATTTAATGGACTGCCTCCATCCTGTGAATCTCTGGATTTTTGACATTTCATGCATGTAAAATTTGTTGAACTTTGTGTCAGATATTCTGTTTATAGATTCACCTTGGACATTTTACAGTTGGCTGTGAGTAGAGTCCTGTGTGTATTCCTCGTATTCTCAGTCTCTTTAGGTTACTAGAGCAATGGATGGTTGTGGAAAAAAAATTTAAAGAACCTTTTGTGGAATTCAAGTAGTTTTCAGTCATATTGATCAATTTCATGTTGGTAGTGTGTGTATAGTGTGTAGATATGTCTGAAAAGCACTTGAGATTTGTACATCTTTGTTGTATAGTTCCAGATGACTCGGGGATGTTTCTGGATTTTGCATTATCTTGAAGGAATGGGAGGGATCCTTTTTCAAACAGTTTTCCTTTTAACACTACACACTGCAGTATCCTAGAGACAGAAAAAAAGCCATACCTAGGTTATTTTAAGCTGAGGGCATTCAAGTCCTTCAGACACTACACATGAATGTTGCATCCTGCAGCAACCATTTTACTGAAAACAAAATGAAAAGTATCTGTGTAATCTTGGGAGATCTAATTAACTTGTGCTAGTCCTCATGTACTTTGGTAGGATATGATAGTTTTTGCCATTTGGGAGAAATGAGCCAATAGATTGTGTGGAATCTTCAGGGCTTTCCTTGCTAAATGTAATATGTTGATGGTAGGTTGGTACTGATTAGTGGGTCTGTGATAAGGGTTTGTAACATCACAGATAGCATTGATGTACACCTCCACAAAGATGTGCTCACGAATTCCCCTACTGTATGTTAGTGGGGGGATCTTCAGCTGCCTACTACACCCATACAACCACATCTACCAGTAGCTGGCTGCTGGAGTCTTCCAAAAATAACTCAAAATCTACAGAGGTTCCCAATGGGCTTTTCAATTAACTAAAATTTTCTTGAGTGTTTATGGCATGTTTGCCCTTGTTCTTATAAGACAATTTTCTCCGTTTCTTCAGCAGTCTGGCAGGTATATACTGGAAATTTTATTGTTCAAAATTAAACTAATAGCTGGTTATCTTGTCTAGACGATTGTGTCAAATCTGGGTCAGTGAAAGGTTTTCATTGACTTGGTTAAACAAATGTTTCTATTTCAGTGTTTGATGAAAAATTACATCATATTGTGAGAATTTTAGTAAGATATAATTTGGTAACAATAATAATATCAAACATTTTAAATTCTGCCTGTTCACTCATTCATATATTTTTTTTAAATCTCATGAAGAATATGGTTTTTATAACCATTTCAACATCGTTGGGTAAGCAACTGATGTGTTTTACTGTATGTATGACCAAAAATTCCTACCATTAAACTTTTAAACAAAAATAATGAGCATGTGACTCTTGGTTTAGGAGAATGTCAGAAATTCCTACAATATGATTTGCCTTGTAAAAATTCTAGATTTTTACATTCAAATTTTTATGACTGCAGTCATGGTACAAAGAAATTATTTTATTGGTGCAGTGTTATTACGTTGGGGATGAAAAGGACCAAGGTACAATCACTCAAGAGAATGATAAAACATTTCAGAAACTTGATATTTTTTTTATAATCCATGAAATTCAAAATTTCTAAGATCTATACATTAATATTATGTCTTCCCATTTAACTTATGAAAACTGTCTAGGATTTCATTGTAATCGTCTGGTATTCTGCCATTCAAGTTTGGAACACCAGGGGTTAAATCAGGACTAAGGTTCTGCTTGGTGTACTGAGAATTCAGTTGTGTGCAAGGTCCTACCCTTGACCTCTGTTTCCTGATGGTTTGTGTAGCGTGGCACAACAGTAGCTGCTCCCCCTCCCAGCTACTACTGATGATAGAAACCCTACACGACCAGGCGTAACTGATACGCTACATAAATCTTACTGTGGACTTTGAGAGGCATGTTCTTTTTTCTAAAGAGTTCCCACATGGGAGAACTCAAAAATTAATCTGTTTAATTTGGTTAATGCAGGTTCCTTTCTGCTGATGAATATGTTCTGTTATTCAATTATGATTTGAACTATTTTCAGCTTTTTAAGAAAGAAAAATCGTGAATGGTTTGGAGTGTTCCTTGTAAATTCCAGCACTTCTGATGAAATACACAAGTGCCTCCTTTCTAAATCTGTGAGCTGAATGCATACCATTGATGAAGTAGAAAATTCGTGCTAAAAAATATAAAAAATGAAATAACAGTGGGTGTATGAATGCGTCTCTCAAATTTCAAGAGGTTGTGATATTTTTGAATTTGTTTAATATTTTATTGTGTAGTGAGAGAGAAAAAAGACTGTATTTCTGGAATATTGACACGAAAATTAATCATGATACTTGTGAAGTAGTAGTGATGAATGAAATGAGTATGAACAGGTTAAGAATTTCAAAAGAATAAGAAGAAATCTTTTATAGAAATTCTTTGGCAACATGTAAACTTTAACATATAAATAATGCCAGTTTCTATCAGAATTACCGATTATTATATAACGGTACTGATACAATATACTTTATTTGTTGTTGTTGGAGTTCCCGGCTATCTGTAAGTGATATTCCTTAATACTACTTAATTGTCTGCAGAAACGGAAGCAGTTGTCAGCAGTAAGAATTAAGTAGTCCTTTTGTCAATATATGTCTGTCTACCATTATATTTACCCGTACACATTTATTCGTTGATTGAATATGTGTGTTTCAGTATTCTACATAAGTTACAAATTGTGCTACACCATAGAGAAGTGCTCCATAAGGTCGTTTCATTCGCTTGTGATCCCTTTGTCAGTCCCTCTTCAATAAGTATCCTTGATTGGACCACGATGTTCAGCAAAAAATAGTTGATGTTGATTAAAGGAAAGGAGTAATGCGCTGCGCCATTTGAATTATGGAAGGGAGATAATTCAAGAAATAAAATGTCTCAGGAGGTTTACGTGTTCTACATCAGTAATGAACAGATATCAATCCAAGTTTTTAGCTTGATAAGAAAATTTTGGAATTTTGAGAATTTGTGAGATAGATTATGTTTAGATTGCCCTTTTAATGACCTTCAAAAACTAGTTTCAAATCAGCTTGTTTAAGCAAACTTGCACTTTGACTTACATTTAAGATGACAGGGGTAAAAATGTGTTAAAAGCTTCAAGCTTTAGGCTTTCAAATATGCTTCTTCTTTGTAAGCTGCTGAACAGTGATTCTGTCCAATTTGGCTATTTTTGCATACTTTTTCATAATTTAGGACTAAATTTGTGAATGACAGAGAAGTCGACATGACAGATAATATGCAAAATATTTTATTATGTTTCAGAACCTCACAGTCGTGAAGTATTTAGATTAGCTTTCATTTGTTTTCAAGTTTTTCTGTGTCTTCGTTTAAGGAGAAAGGGAGTAGAGTTTGTGGCATTTGTAATAAAATGAGACATCAGTTTTTGTGAAGTGAACCACATTTATATCAGTGTCTGAAATTTTGAGGATATCAAGATGAATGACTGTACAGATGGGCTTTGTCTGGTGCCTTTTAATTATGGAATAAAATCCCTTTAAAAAAATGCTACTTGTAAAAGAGAATTAATAAAATTTACAGTAGTCTGGTTCATAAATTCCCGAGGAAAATATAAAAAAAAAAAACTGCATCCTGTTTGTTTCTAAGTGTTGATGTAAAAGCATTATAGATGTAAACCTCTTTCACTGTTATAGTTTCTCAGTATGTGTCAATTTAATTTAACTGAAGGAAACATTTCAGTCTGTTTAAGATCTATTTTATGTATAAACCAGTCCTATGAATCTCAGATAATAAACAATACACATTAAATATTTCAGATTTTCCTTGTATATAAAGGATACACATTAAAGGTTTAGGATTCTCCTTGTACAATTCATCCTCATGTCAGTAATTTCTATAAATATCCATGTATATGACAATAAGATTATGTCTATGTCCATTATACAGGGATTGGCATCGAAAGATATCTTGTAACAAACATGTGGTTTGAAGGTACATTATTTATACTCATATTAGAAGAAACTTTTTTTTTCAGTAATATTGATGAAGTGGGTGGAAATGCAGATGTAAAAATAGGTGACACTGAACATTGTTTCTCTTTGTCTATTTGCAGTGCAATGAGAATATTACTTACTAAAATTCCACGTCACTGGATTGTGGATGAAAAAAAGGATGATGGTTACACTGCTCTCCATCTCGCTGCACTTAACAACCATGTGGAGGTGGCTGAACTCCTTGTCCACCAGGTAAAGTCATCGTCTCAAGGTCAAGACCAAAAGGTCAAGGTAATTAAATAGAACATCATTGGCAAAGTTCAAGGTCATTAAGCCTAATTGACATCAGTTCTTGGCAGATTTTAATTTGCATATGAGCAGCCATGAGGCCATTATATTTACAACTGCACAGCAGTGCTGCTACCTCAACTTATCGTTAGGAAATGTAATTTAACATACTCAAAATAACATCCAAAGCATGACTATATAACATTGTATTTGTGGCATTGAAATGTTGGAGAGAGTTCAACATCAAAATGGTTGTTCCACTTGGCAGATTACAAAATCAGAACTGAATAATGTATTTTGGTTTTAACCAATTTATAATATGCATAGGAAGGCAACATCCATAGGGAATGTAAATATAAGTATTGAATTGCATTATTATGTCATTAATTATTGGTAGAGATGACAGAGTTTTGCAGGAATTGGGCTAGCCAGCATACAAAATGATGTTTGCTTGCAAAGCTGTCATTTATACAACCGTAAATGTCATAAATAGACAGTTCAATGCTAAATCAGCCACATTTTATACTGAGGTACAGTACTGCCAGGATAACACTTCGTACAAGTGGTTAATCAATAAAGTTAAAATCTAAACTTATGAAATAAGAGGGTCAGTTGAAGGTAACACATTAACACTGAGTTCATCATATTTTACCTCAATTTCATTTCTATGTTTTGATGTAGTGTAACAATACTAGAATGATTATTGAAAAAGTATTGGTATCTAAAATTAAATTTTAATAGAAATAAACAGCATGTAACATGTGTTATGATTGTATTGTATTAAAGTTTTTTGAAATATCACAATTAAGGGAAAGGCTAATATGGATATCCAGAATGTCAACCTCCAGACTGCTCTTCACCTGGCTGTAGAACGTCAGCATACACAAATTGTCAGGGTAAGTCTCTTTCATCAATTTAGAGTTATGGCCCTTTATAAGCAGCCTTGGGATAACAAGATTACTTTCATTGAAAATAAAAAGAATATTTTATAAAAAGTGGCACTATGTAGTCATGACTAACAATACAAATTAACAGGTACCTTCTTAAGCATTTGTTTCTTTTGAGGTATTTGAGAGTTCAAATCTTACAATCAAGAAGCCAAACATTCATGAAAATGTGTGTTGTTGATGTACAATAGAGATTAAGTAGTTGTCAGGTCAAGGTCAGTTGACATGACATTATCTTGGTTCATACGTGACCTAGGGATGTACTTCTAAAATCGTCAAATAAGGAAAGTGTCACATACGAGAAGAATATATAAACAACTTGTCTGTTTTAGTTACTTGTGCGAGAGGGATGTAACCTGAATGTGCCAGATAAGGACGGGGACACGCCCCTTCATGAGGCCCTCAGACATCACACCTTATCCCAACTCCGACAGCTTCAAGACATGCAGGATGTTGGCAAGGTAATTTATACAATTGTATCTGTTCATTATTGTCTTTGAAGCACAAGAAAGAAGAATGAAATAAGTATGGTAAATGAAATAGCCACTTTGATCTATCTAAGGTTCCAAAATCAGACGATGGCCAATGTTTCTAGTGCACAACAAAATCACATGGCATCTAATGTCTTTTCAGCAAAATAAAATCACCTAGAGGCCAGAGTTTTAGGACCACATCAAAATCACATGGCATCTAATGTCTTTTCAGCAAAATAAAATCACCTAGAGGCCAGAGTTTTAGGACCACATCAAAATCACATGGCATCTAATGTCTTTTCAGCAAAATAAAATCACCTAGAGGCCAAAGTTTTAGGCCATTTATGTTTTTGTTAGGTTTAAGATTTACATGGTCACCAAACAGAATCAAATGGCTACTTCTGTCTTGTGATGGTTCCAAAATCACATCACCATTAATGTTTTGAAGAAAAAAAATGAATCGTTTGATCTCTATCTCTTGTATAATGCAATATTGATTTAATGCAACATTTTGAAACTCAGTTTTATTTTTCAACAATCTAATGAAATTCACATCACATTTGTAGTCTACAATTGATGACATGCAAAATCTTCTTGCTTTGATATAACTTGAACAGTTGTAGCTAGATATTGATATCTGATCATTTTTTTTCGGAGACAGATTTGGGAGAATAGTTTGAAATTATGTATCAAACATTTTGGCTGTAAGTTTCAAAAGTTAACAAAGTATAAATAGGATTTGTGTACATGGAAGTGTGATTGTTAATACTGGATTTTTTGATTGCTCTATCAGTTATTGATGGGACTAGGAACACCAGGAGCAGATAAAAAGTCCAGCGCTTCCATTGCTTGTTTCCTCGCTGCCAATGGTGCCGACCTCAGCATTAAAAACAAAAAGGGTCAAACTCCTCTTGACCTCTGTCCTGACCCTAACCTTTGTAAAGCCCTGGCCAAGTGTCATAAGGAACGCCACAGGTAGGTGCAACACATACTTTCGTCCTTTGCAAAACTCTGACCAAGTGTCATAAGGAGTGCCACAGCAAGTGTCATCGGGATCGCCACTGGTAGGTGCAACATATACTGTCATCTTTTTCAAAACTCTGACCAAGTGTCATCGGGATGCCACAGGTAGGTGCAGCACATACTGTTGTCTTTTTCAAAGCCCTGACCTAGTGTCATAAAGAACACCACAGGTAGGTGCACAATATACATCAATATTTATATTAAGGAATGCCACAGGTTGGTGCAACATATACTGTCGTCTTTTTCAAAGCTCTGACCAAGTGTCATCAGGAACGTCACAGGTAGGTGTAGCACATACTTCTGTCCTTTACAAAGCCCTGACCAAGTGTCATAAAGAACACAATATTACATGTGCTGCAAATAAGGATATTTTGTGAGGATTGCTGAAGTATCAGAGTGGTGCCGATTCTCTTAAGCTTATAGTTTATATCAAATTTGGTCGGGGATTGCAGGCAACATATTTTCTCACCAAAGTATGATGGGAGAGTGTTCACAGCAAAGGATGTTATTTGATTTATTGTTGCCCTTGAACCACCTTAATGGATTATGACCTTTAGTGACCTTTATGATATTAATGTTTTACATCGTTTTCATTGAGTAGCCCCGGAGCAGCTGCTGAGAACACTGTAATCATCCGTAACGACCAGGAATCCCTCCAGGAGTGTATGGTTTGCTCTGACCTGAAGCGAGACACACTGTTTGGACCATGCAGTCACATCGCTACCTGCTCTTTGTGTTCACCAAGAGTAAAGAAATGCCTGATGTGTAAGGAGCAGGTCCAATCTAGGACTAAGGTATGTTATCTGGGGCCAAAGTGTCTGACATGTTGGTGTTTCTTCGTCTCTCTATTAAAGACGTAGCAATAAACAGAATGAAATCAAGGAATTACCTGAACTACTGCAGATGCCGAGAATTCAAAAGAAATTTCTGTACTTCATCAATTTGTTGTGATAGATTTAAATTTTTTTCATGAAACAAAGAAAACGAGATCCAACGTCCCGTCTGGTAGATTCAGTAATATTGGCAGTCTCTAATAGGATGGATTCCTAGTGAAGTCTGGTTCAAAGATGTGTAAACAGCAAATAGAGAGGACCAGACAACATCTGTAGGAAGAACTGAAACTGTTTAATAGTTGACATGTTTCCTAGTATGCCGACACATGTCAACTATTAAACAGTTTTGATTTTTCCTACAGATGTTGTCTGGTCCTCTATTTGCTATTTTCTCCATGAGACACTTCAGAGCAGTAGCACTCTTAAGATCTATTAGTGAAATTAGCTTTATTTGTCATCATGACATCACAGTTTTTTAACTTCTTTTGATCTTGTATTTTTATCAATCGCCCATTAGAATGAAAGGACACACCTTAGATAACAATATATCATTCATTAATCTAAAACAGGAACTGAAAGAAAGACAAATTTTAAAACACGAATTTACTGTTCTTTACTGCTTTGGTTTTCCATTGTTTTTACAACTTTATTTCCTTCACAGATTGAGGAGTGTGTGGTGTGCTCCGACAAGAAAGCGTCTGTATTATTCCTGCCATGTGGTCATATGTGTGCTTGTGATGGTAAGTGATATTGAAATATGATGACTTTAGCTTAGGTATTACAGATTTGCACAGTCGCCTTCTTTCCTGATGTCTTGTTACAAAGCTGCTTAACTACAGTAAAGTTACTTTAACATATTACTCTAACAGGAGATGTGGTGTTGTTTGATATTACAGTGATACACCTTGGTGATATATGACATAATTATGAGACAGTACTGTTTGGTGATGTGGTACTGTGGTGTCACTTTTGATAACTGGGATAGTGTCCCTTGGATCCTGTGTTACTGGTTTGTAATGTGTTAAAGTCGTATTTGACTGGCGTTAGTGGCCTGTTAGTAGACTGTGACTTCATTACGACCTCAAACTAACTGGTTTTGTGATCACAGGTTGTGCTGTCCTGATGAAGAAGTGTGTTCAGTGTCGTTCCTCCATAGAAAAGACTGTTCCCTTCATTGTATGTTGTGGAGGATCACGTAAGTGTTTTGTCTGATGAATAGTATTTCCTTTTCAATTGATCAATATAGCACCCAAGAAATCCTTTTTTTTCTCACTTGCTCTATATGAGCATTTATTTCTTGTAATGATGGAAGTTTGTAAAGAATTTTTAGATTCATGATCTGAAATGTTTTTTTTTTTTTTTTTTCCCAAATTTTTTGTACAAGCTGATGGTGATTACTTATGGATTAGTATTAGGGTTAAGAAATGTGATTTGTGTTTACAGCTCCACCTGCCCCTCAACCACCAGGTGTGATGAACAATGGTTCACGTGACGTATCCAAGGATATTCAGAAGCTACAGCAACAATTACAGGATATTAAGGATCAAGTAAGAATCTTTGGACAATTTTTTATCTCATATAAAATGTAGTTTCCTGGTCAACATGCAGGATAAAAATGCTGAGCTACTGTCTAGATGGCAAGCCCCACCCCCAGCCCCACCCCCAGCCCCATCCCTCAGCCCCACCCCCAGCCTTATGTCTTTGTTGTGGGTAACACTCAAAACCCTGTACTAGTGCGATTTTTGAGAAAGACCATCTTTATGCTTAAATTACATTAAAGATTATAGAAAGAGAGATTTAAGAGTAAGAACAATTTGGTATTTATGTCATTAAATGGCTTTCATTTTCTTTACAGACCAGCTGTCCTGTGTGTATGGATCGCCTGAAAAACATGATTTTCCTGTGTGGACATGGTACTTGTCAGATGTGTGGGGACAGAATGGCAGAGTGTCCAATCTGTCGCAAGTCTGTTGAGAAACGCATCCTTCTCTACTAGGACAGATAACTATTGAAATACATCCATCTCTGTGGGAGACAATTAATGGAGTGTTTCCTTCTCTCCTAATAAAAGGCATTTTGGTGAAACAACCTCCTGTTTCAGGGGAGACTACTGTGTTACTAGGGGAGACAACTACTTAAGCAGTGAAGACAACTGTCAAAACAGCCTGTTGTTTGCTGTATAGTACTTGTACAACTGGAAGAACACATTCTCTGACAGTGAAACAACTGTGGGAGGACAAACTTGTATAGTTTAGAAAACACCTACAGAACACAATTTACTGAGGGGGAAAACTAATGGATGAATTACTTGTACAGATTACAAGTTCTACCAGATACAGCTGATATCAGTGGATGAGAGGAGATAACTTTAGAAATGTTTTCGTCTCTATTATAGAAATACCGAATTTCATATATAGAAAGTATGCTACTGCATGTTGATATAAAGATAAAAATAATCTCACTCTCGTTAACAAATGTTGCTTGTGATAGCTTGAGTGACACATTCTCAAATATTGTTAACAGGAAAAAATGGCAAAATATATTTTCCTTCACAGGATATTGAAGTAAAAATTGGCTGTTGAATATCAATTGTAAAATCATTTTGTTAACCTGGACAAGGATGATGATACTAATTGTGTATTTGAGGAACTGAGATTGTGATATATCTGACTTGCCTTGTTCCCACCATTCCTATATAGTCGCGGAGAGGTTATACAGATCTGATCTGTTACACTATTGGATCCTTACCATTAAAACTCAAACCATAGACTTTTTTTCTTTTTTTTTTCGTATTAGAAATGCTTTAATACTAATGTTTGTTGTTAAACAGACCTATCAAACAGTTGTTTGTGTTATGGTCAACATTGGGTGATGAATTAATAAATCATGTAATTCCCACAGGTCATGTTTTTGTGCTGAAATCATTTTGCTTTTTTAAGGAGGTAGTAAAAAATCCACAAAGCCAATACCATTATACCATATCTGATGTTTGACCACATGATAATTTAATGATGTCAAGCTGTTAATTTAGAATCATCCTTTCATTAGACTTAATTCACAGTTTGCTTTTTAGAATCAACTCACCAGAGAATGGTTTTGAGTGAGATGGATTCTTTTTATCAGAAAAAAAAATTATAACAGCATTTGCTTGTGCTTTCATCTGTCTGATGTTCTAATTAGGTTTTGATATTTTAATAAAGTAGAAAAACTTTGTGTGAAATAACTATGTGTGAAACCATGTCATGCTTAAATATCTAAGTGTAAGCCAGGCTGTGAAGTTTGAATATGTATTTGTATAAGATAAAGGTGAAAGTTGATCACGTTTTTGTTTATTTTTCATATAGAAAATATTTGATCCCGTCACTTTGAAAATGCTGGTGTCTTTCACACTGTGTCAAATATCAGAAAGTAATGTTAGAGTTTGATGCCTACATAGTAGTAATTTCCAGCAGGTTTTCTGTTCAAGTACAGTGATGGCACGATAAGTGGTTGTTTTCATGTAGCATTTGTAACACAAATTTAAGTATTTATTCAACTTTACATCCCCGAACATTTCTTTGAGCAAATCTTGCCAAATGATAACAGGAACATACAGAATGATGATTAGCAGCACTTTCAAAATGGTGCACAGTCCTGTTGTAAAGTGTGTCATCTTAAGAATGGCACACTCCAATATATGCTACTGATGTAGTGATACAGAAATGTGAATGTTAAATATGAACTTTAAAAAAAAACATGAATAGTTTCCATTGAATACCTAGTAATACTCACATACAGTAGAGGTATTTTACATTTATGCTCATTGCTGATGAAAATATCTTTAATTAACCATACTAAGGAATATATATTTGTATATAATGTTCAAAGGAAACCAAAATATATTCATATTTATGGCATTTTTTTTTCAATAAAATAGAGGAAGGTATGGGGATGTTAACAGTATATTGTTAATGTACTGAAATGTGTTAAAATGATGCCTGATCAAAAATCTAGGTACAACTTTATTCTTTGATCATTCGTTGATAATCTGATGAGTTGTTTTACAATATCATCAATGAAATAGTCAGTACTATTAGATATATACAGTCATTTCTTAGTCTCCCTTTGATTTGCCAGATTTTCAAAGGTTGAAGATCACTGACTTATATATACAATATAAAACTATTGCGTTTGTGTCAGTTTTATTTTGTTATCTTCACTGGAATTTCCAATTTTTCAAATTAATCATACTATTAACTCTGAAGAATTTTAATTCACATTTACAAACAGGAAGAGTATTTCCAGTCCAGCTGGAGATTGTTTTATCTTGCGTTGTGAAACAAAAGACATGACTGCACTTTTCTTTATGATTTCCAAGACAATTGATTGATACAACATTGGTTTTAATGTTTAGATATGTTTGCATTCTCATAAGTATAAGCATGGCCTGTTCCAGTGACTGCTTTGTCATCAGCATTTAGAGTTATGTCCCCTTCATTCAGTTGACAGCCATGATCAAGGGACAGTACTCAATTTACTTTTACATAACACTACTGAAAACTGCACAGGGGTCTGAGTATAGGTAATTGAGTTAAACTTGCCATTGTGATTAATTGATAAAGGAATTGATATTTTTCATTAAGTACATAATTAGATCTTTTGTCGTTTTATTGGACACGATTATCTTGATGATAAATTGACACAGGATCAAATCACTTTACTGCATTTTGACATTGAAGTATTTCCCAGTATGTGTACCATTATTATTTAATTAGAAATGTCTTAATTATTAAATCAATCATTTTTTGTGAATCTCCTTCTGTCACTGCCTGTCAGTTTGTTCTTTCTTCTACATAAAATTACTAACATTATTACTTTTTAAATTAGAAAAATACCAGTAGCAACTAGTTTGATTTATATCATTTTTGTTTTCAGTTTTTCAAAAAAATGTTTATGATTAATATTTTTTGTATGTACGTTTCATATGATGGTTAAACACAAGGAAAGAAAAGGATATAATATGATATTATGAGTTATAGGAAAAATTTTTAAAAAGTAACTTTAGTGAGATGCATGTGGTTTATGTAGTTACTTGGACTAAAGGCTAGGCTTTGGCCTTAGTGCTGTCTGATCAAAGTTTTAATTTTAAAAGCTGTACATTACCATCAGCTGAGGGGAATTTGACTTGATTATGTCTTCAGTATAGTTTAACAAAGGTTATTAACTTTGTATAATTTGAAAGTATGAAGCTTGCTACGCTCTCTTGGTATACCTGTGTTGATGTATTTGAGGTATTTTATCAAGTATTATCAAGGCCCCTTGACCTTGTTTACTTTCTGACCAGATTTTCTTCTGTGTTAACATTCAGTTTTACTTTTATAAAATATACCAATTACACCAACATTGAATTATAACATTTTGAATACAATTAATATTGTATTGTCTATTTAAAAAACATTTTCATTTAAGAGATGCGATTGTACCAATGCATGTGCTGCTTAATGTTTTTTTTCTGTTTTTTTTTTTTTTTTTTTGAAGAAAGAAGATATGTCTGGTTCTGGTAGTTTACGAAGTATGCTTTACTGTAATAGAAAATCAATGCTTTGATGGAATGTAATGATATTACATGTTTTATTATTTTTTTTTCCAGACGATCATTCATTGAAAGTGTATACGCTGTGGTAATACGTTGATAATTTGGATGGAGCATTTCTGATAAAAAAAGTGAAGACATTTTGAACATTAAAAAATATATAAATTACCAAGTAAAGAAAATTCTAGTGCTTTTAACATTTTTTATTTTCTAAATCATCAAATTTACTAAGAGCTGCATCAAATGATTTGGACATTAAGTTCTGAATTAACATTTTGTATATTGTATAAATAATCACCCGTCCTTGTGTATATATGTCAGTAGATTTGACACAGTGGTGCTGGATGTATTTTTGATGTGGCAGTGCTAGTATAGTGTTAGATACATTAGAAAAGCTTGTATGCCATCACAATATGACACCTTCGTTAGTGGTAAACACTGCTCTCTAATCTGTGTACAAAATAGCAAAAAACTCTTAAATTTGATCAAATAATCCAGTTTATTTTGATGGAAACCTTGTATTTCAATGCTGTAAATGCAGTTAATTACTGGTAGCCTGTACTTTGTATAGATCCCTAAAATCCCAGAATGCACAAGCATATAGAATAATGATGACTGCTTTACTATCAGTAATATTCATTGCTGTGATGGGCCTTATCTCATCTCTGTTACTTGAGTATCAGCTAGTGTTATAGACGATACAGAAGTGTGATGTTACATCTCTCTACCACTGATTTAGAAAACTGTACATATAGGTGTTGTTTAATACTTGATATGCTGTTATTACAGGTGTGAAATAACAGATTAGCATAACTTTTGCCCAGGTGTTAAAATTTACCTGTGACCATTGTATAATAATTGTGCTGTAGGTAAAACCTATGTCCTGATAATTGGATGCTGCTTTTCCTTGTTTGTGATATTCTGTCAGACTTGTTGATTCGGTTGACTCCATTGCTAATTGTTCAGATTGTTTCTGTCTTTCAAAATAAATACCAGCAGTCATTAATTGTCAACAGGTTAACATCTGTTGAGACTTGTTTTTGTGGAGTTTTGTGTGTAATTTTTTTTTTAATTGGGTAAATATTTTTCAGTTCTGTCTGGAAAGTAAAAAGCATCTATTGTTTTAGGAGGAAAGTTCAATCTGTTAAGATGTTAAAAATTTTGTAAATATTTTAAGTCATATTATGAAAATTAATTTTTAAAAAGTTGAAAATCTGATCAGATTCATATGAATAATTTGTGTCAACCTTCTTTCATTTATTTAGGATTTATGTATTTATACTAGCCAGACAGTCCTGATATATTTTGTTCAATGTGTTATATTTGATATACTAATATAAAATGCATTTCCCTAAACACAAGGCCTAAATGACAGCATGTTCATATTCAAAGTTACTTCCCCTTCATACATAGTCTTGTGTACTACCCACCTTGTAATTTCATACTATTTCATTTCATTAACTGAAAATTTCAAGTATTGTTTTTTTTTTTTTTTTTTTTATTCTGTGTTGCATGCACTGTTTTGATGATTAAGAATTTTAACAAATATCTGTGTGCAATTTCGAAAGAAAACTTGATTCTAATATATGAGACCCTTAACATATATCATTTATGATTTCTTGTTATAATTTGTATTTTCTTTAATGAATCAAAATATTTTGAATTTTGTATTAGCCCAAACACATTGTTTGATATGGCAGATTGTAGTACGGTGTATGTGCAGTGATATCGACAGATGTGTGATGTACTGTAGTGATGAGTACACTGGAGATTACGAAACAAACTATACAAACTATCAGTATGTGACTTAAGAGATAGTTTTATTGATTGTGATAAGAGTTAACTCCACGGTGTACACTGAAATGGTAGAAATAGTCTAAGAGAGGGTTTCTCCAACAAGCACTATTTCTCTTGTACATTTAAAGCTTAATGAAGAGACTATTCTGGTTTTGGTATCATCTCGTATTAATTACATGTTGTGTCTTTAGTGATAAGTTATATAAAGTGATAAAATAAATCTATGAATGAAGAAAGCAAGCATACATTTGTGTTGTGTCATTTTTCTATGAATTAAGAAAGCAAACATACATTTTGTGTTGTGTCATCAATGAAGGCGACAAACATACATTTTGTGTTGTGTCATCAATGAAGGTGACAAACATACATTTTGTGCTGTGTCATCAATGAAGGCGACAAACATACATTTTGTGTTGTGTCATCAATGAAGGTGACAAACATACATTTTGTGTTGTGTCATCAATGAAGGCGACAAACATACATTTTGTGTTGTGTCATCAATGAAGGTGACAAACATACATTTTGTGTTGTGTTATCAATGAAGGCGACAAACATACATTTTGTGTTGTGTTATCAATGAAGGCGACAAACATACATTGTGCTGTGTCATCAATGAAGGTGACAAACATACATTTTGTGCTGTGTCATCAATGAAGGTGACACATACATTTTGTGTTGTGTCATCAATGAAGGCGACAAACATACATTGTGCTGTGTCATCAATGAAGGTGACAAACATACATTTTGTGCTGTGTCATCAATGAAGGTGACAAACATACATTTTGTGCTGTGTCATCAATGAAGGCGACAAACATACATTTTGTGTTGTGTCATCAATGAAGGTGACAAACATACATTTTGTGTTGTGTCATCAATGAAGGCGACAAACATACATTTTGTGTTGTGTCATCAATGAAGGTGACAAACATACATTTTGTGTTGTGTTATCAATGAAGGCGACAAACATACATTTTGTGTTGTGTTATCAATGAAGGCGACAAACATACATTGTGCTGTGTCATCAATGAAGGTGACAAACATACATTTTGTGCTGTGTCATCAATGAAGGTGACAAACATACATTTTGTGTTGTGTCATCAATGAAGGCGACAAACATACATTGTGCTGTGTCATCAATGAAGGTGACAAACATACATTTTGTGCTGTGTCATCAATGAAGGTGACAAACATACATTTTGTGTTGTGTTATCAATGAAGGCGACAAACATACATTTTGTGTTGTGTTATCAATGAAGGCGACAAACATACATTGTGCTGTGTCATCAATGAAGGTGACAAACATACATTTTGTGCTGTGTCATCAATGAAGGTGACAAACATACATTTTGTGTTGTGTCATCAATGAAGGCGACAAACATACATTGTGCTGTGTCATCAATGAAGGTGACAAACATACATTTTGTGCTGTGTCATCAATGAAGGTGACAAACATACATTTTGTGTTGTGTCATCAATGAAGGTGACAAACATACATTTTGTGTTGTGTCATCAATGAAGGCGACAAACATACATTTTGTGTTGTGTCATCAATGAAGGTGACAAACATACATTTTGTGTTGTGTCATCAATGAAGGTGACAAACATACATTTTGTGTTGTGTCATCAATGAAGGTGACAAACATACATTGTGCTGTGTCATCAGTGAAGGTGACAAACATACATTTTGTGTTGTGTCATCAATGAAGGCGACAAACATACATTTTGTGTTGTGTCATCAATGAAGGTGACAAACATACATTTTGTGTTGTGTCATCAATGAAGGCGACAAACATACATTTTGTTTTGTGTCATCAATGAAGGCATACCTATATTTGTGTGATGTTGTTTCTCAACTGACAGGAAAGCCTTTTTGTGGGTAGATGATGTCTGTTTCAATGATTATTCTTAACCAAAACATTGATCCGCCTTTCATTAATATAAAAACTCATTGCTTCTTGTTGCACTCTGTTAATACTACATGGAGCTGAATTGGAAAAGTTAAACTTATACATGAGTGGAACAAGAAAGTAAAGTTCACATTACATGGACTGGGGTGCAGGATTCTTTTTGTTGCATAACTTGTAAAAGCTCAGAATTTCCGCCTTCAATGGTCTACTTCTTATGTGGTCACAATAGTGTTACATCACTTGTGTCGTATGGGATAGTTACCTTTATAACATACATGTTGACAGAACAGATCAGGTACGGTAAAATGTTCATTGTTATAGTAAGCACGGACATAGATATACATTTATAGATAGATCTATCTCTATACCCAAGTCACGTGGTTGTAGGTCTAATTCGAGTTTTAGGAGCAAGTCATTATATTTATACCTGCATATATTGGACCCTTTGTACAGGTCGTTCAGGTTTGTCTAGGGAGAGGACAAGCACTAGCAATCATAAAAACCGAGGTGTAGGTGTAGTCCAACAGTGAACGGAGGTGTTTCATAGTAACCGACGTTCAATACAGTAAAACATGAAGACACGTTTGCCCTTAGAAATACCAAAATAAGCCACAGAACTTAACTTTTTCACATGTTCCTTCATTCAAAAGACTAAGAAAATTATGAAAAGGTAAAGCTCGGGTATGTTATGGCTTTTTTTAGGTCGAATTTGAGCTTCATACGTTTACATTCCCTCCCAGTTTCCAGATGTTTGACAACAAGAATACTGAAAGGCTTACTTGAAAGACTAAACACTTGTTTGGTACAGTTTTGATTAATATTAAGCAATACTACATGTATTGCCAAACGATGGCTATGCCGGAGCTTATTTCGTGAAAACTACGCATTCTGGCCCACAATATCTTTTGTGTTTGGCTGCAAGATATTCCAAAAGCTTAAGTAAGTCATGATAACAAACTGTGTCCTTCTCTTGGCAGAGGATGTTTTCCGTTTGCCAATTTTTCATCAGAGTTGTTCTATGAAGACAAAGGCAAACCATGCCATGCGAAATCATGACTGACCCGTTTAAATCCGTCACTTACTGCCATCTTTTCTAACAGTGGAATCAATAAGGACAGCTTTTCAAGCTGTATAATTGAGGAATTCGATTTCCCCATTGTGAATTTTCCATTATTTGAGAGTAACACTAATGCTTCCTCAACCTGCGGTGTTTACATAATGCAGTTGATTCAATGTTCAAAGGCTTGCTCGCAATATGATGATTGCCATGAAGGATGCTGGCAACTGACATCTAGGGTTTAGAGAGATCTTGTTCATGTAAACAATTCGTATTGAATAATTCAACAATATTTCACATTTGGGATGGAGAAACAAAGTTTATATGGATTCCTTTCCCAAATATTGATTCTAGGTTAGAAGACCACGGAAAAGATTTATGGTTTAACTTAGTTGGAACATCCAATATATTTACTAGGCGGGTGTCGTCGAGGAAGTAGAAGGCGCTAAACTTTCCGGAACACCAAGCCATATTCTTCTTGCACTTTTTCAAGAGTAACCATTTTATTTTTTTCTTTATATCATATTCTGTTCGAGTTTAATCGATTCTTATTTTGAATTGAGATTTTGTATTTTCTCGTTAAATAGTGGCAATACCATCAAGTCATTATGAGACATTTCTTTGCTGTATCGAGAACTCTCAGATATTAAAAAAAGATTTTGGAAACTTCCATGGGTTATAACCGTTAATCAAACTCCTATTTTCCATTATAAAGCAGCGGATATTGACAGAAGACTATGGTTTATAAACTACTCGTATGTGATGAAAGAGATGTAAAAGTCTGGGTGTGATCATCATGAATACGGGAAACCAACTAGTGTCGTTAAAACAAGCTGACAACAAGAGGTGTATCGTAAAATATTTATCATTAATTTGATTTTCTTCCAAGCAGTGACAATAGCATCAAAAGCACAAAGTTTGAATGACAAAATACAAATAAATAGGAAGGAAAGATACCTTTGAAATGTACACATCTATTACATCTTAACAAACAAACGGCTTAAAACGTATCATAGAATTAATGTTTAACGAAAAAATTAATAAGACATTCATATTGCACTGTCTCTGATTACAATACTAACACACATGCAGTGTTTAAACCAGGAAAGCGGCAACACCTGGTTTGGAATTGGACATTGATGTGGAAGAAATTTGATATCATGAATTTGCTATGAAAAAAATCAATGTTATGGTGTTTTCTTTAAAATTATGTCTTATACTCAGTTGGCCCTTAACCTCGTTACCGGATAATTGTTGTATCCGGTACCGTGTCTTTGACGTAGGGAAGATTTTCCCGGGACATCATGGAAGCGGGAATCCGGAACAGGTACCGTCGGTCCCGCGTGTCCCTGTGTACCCGGGAACATTGTATCTCCTTGGCCTTCTTTGGGCTGATGTACATTAAACGATTCTCCTCGCTCCGGCAGTCAAACCAGTCCAGCCAATCAGGACTCAGCTGTCTGAGAGCAAAAGCATTGACAAGGTAAATCTTAACACCATCGTAAAAAATTCGAGTTTGTAAAGATTTGTTCTTTCTTATAAATCCAAAACAATCATGATGCAAAAAATATGCTTCTTTCTTTGATACTTAATGTGAGCTATCTGTAATGTTAAAGGACCGTAACAAACACAGAAAAATTGCTGAGAATGTTGAGAAATGTGAGAAGAAGATCAATGGAAAGCAAGACTGGTAAGTTGAGAACAACTTCTTGTTGTGTTTTCCTATATGTCAAAGACCAAACACGTGGCTATTTATATGCTGTATGCTTTACCAAGGCCTAACAACAGGTGGATTGTTAAAAAATCACAGCCTAACAGCATGGCTACTCTCAACAACTATATGTCTTATTTTTCAAGAAACAAAGAACACAAATACTCGCCACTGCACATTTTTCTAAGCCTGAATTTAGTCCTGCCGCGGCAAAATGACTGTTCACCAGGATATGTTTTCAACGGCAGTGCTGTATGATGTCTTACAGGACTAAAGACAGAAACACATATTGTGATATTGATAGGAATACTCACTGCTGAATGATGTCATACAGGTCTGGGACTAAGGGCAGAACTTCAGATGCGGCTACATTCAACATGGCCTTTGTGACGGGACGTAGCCCCCAGTAGTTCATGTCACTTTTGATTCGGCTCTGTTATCACATAAAGTTGTTCATATGTATTCAAATGTTGATATATTAACAAGGAAGTATGATTAATGGCGATTATGATATAGAGATTGATATTTATTTCATTTTACATTCAAATCACTGAAAAAAATGCCAACAGCTTAGCAGTCTCTATATATTTGTGTTCCCTTTTATCTTAAAGGTTTGAATTATATGTACCTGTAATTGTGGGTCGGGCGTATACCTGTCGAGGTTATATCGTGTACACAAACTGTCAAATGTTATACGTCGTGGTGGTAGGCCTAAAGATTCCAGGATTACAGAACCTGCAGTCTGCAAATAAATTTAGAAGTATTTATTGTAAACGAAAAAAACCCACATAATTCAAGGGACCGTTTGGAGGTTTCTATGTTGTATTTATTCAAGATTTTATCTTATATAAGTTGAAAATCTTATTTTATGAATGTGGTTTCAGTGATTAAAAATAAATTTGTTCAGCCTCTTAAAGCCGTTTTCATATATATTGGGCTTTAATGAAGAGAACATATTCTAAAAATATTTCTTTCAGAACAGTTTGTCATGTTTGAATGCAGTCTTTGTAAATGCTTGGTTAAGGCCAGAATCACCAACATAACGCACTTCTCGTTAATTATCTACCCTTTACCTGAGTGTCAAAGTAGTTCTTCAGAGTCACCCCGAAGGAGAAATGGAGATTGGCACAAGCTTGGCTGCAGTCGTGGATGACCTGTGTACGTCGAGAAATATTTTATAGTGGAATATCATTTTAAATTGAACATAGTATGTGTATCTTATAGTGAAAAATATGACCATATTCTGCTGTGTTTCTATAACTTTAGTGTAAATGTCTGTTCGCGGGTTCGGTTTGTATTCCAAATATGTGTTCATAGAGAACGAGAAATTTCACTCGAATTTCAACACATGGATACCTAATTGTCCTAATTTTATGCATGTTTCATCACTTTTACAAATTTCGCTGCAAACATTTCTACATTAAAGTCGTATCGTGACGTCATCAACGATCCATAAAATGATATCGCCACACTTGAAGGCGACAATATTATTCCAGACTTTATTAATAACATGAAAAGTACGTGTTCTGTAATAACTAATTGAGGAAATAATATGTCAGTAAAAATCTTATCCATTCCAAACGAGATTTGTGAATCTCGTCATGAATTTCTAATTGTAGTTCGCCAGAGGTCCAAATAAACAACTTGTTAAAAGGCTTTATGATGAGTTTTCATATGGTACAGAAATTTGTGCAAGACATCGCAGGTAAGAGATCATATTTGGTTGAATGATTAACTGACGAATGCTTTTTGCCTTGCTTGTTGCCACTGTGACACATCACGCCCTTTAGGTTTTCTAGATCAACATTTTTGAACGATTAATAGTTTGTCTTTATAAAGAATTGAAATATTTACATTATTTGTTAAGAAACACACGTTTCAATTTTCAACGGTTACATGTTTTTTCTGATCACTTTGAACTATAGGTAACTATTTTTTAAATCTGTTTTGTAAAGGGTGAGTATATTTCTTTACTACAATAAATACCTTGACAATTTCGACTGATTGCAAAAGTCGTATAAGGCCTCCGTCAAGGACAATCTCTGGTTTAACTTTGGTATCGAACAGATAGACATCACCATCACACGTGGAGACAGAAATCAGAGTCAGAGTTCCTACAGAAAAAAATAGTGGCCGGTAATGACAACTCCATTAACAGTATTACAAGAAACACACATATATATTCAAATATAAAGGTTAAATTCACATTTGTGTTTGAAGATATTTTGATGTATATTATAATCTTAAGTGACTGGATTTCAATTACGTAATGGCTTCAGTTTTGTCAAACATAGATTTGTTTTTAAGGATATGACTTTTCAAGGATTCCCTATTTAGAAACTAATTTGATTTGGTCAGTATCGGTATCTAATAAACTAACTTTAACGAAATGATGTCTGGTCACTTTGTTCATGTGAGTTGTACACATATTAATTGTGTACGTCCATATTTTATACACATATCAGTTACCCTAGTCACCATCAACACGTCAGATGGTCCATGCCACACTTGCCTGTTGTCCACATGTATAATTTATGCCATTCCGATTTTCTCATTGCCTTGTATCAACAGATAACTTATTGTACTTGATTACGAAAGGAAAAGCTTATTTTTCTCCAACAAATCGGCGTTTCATTCTCAGATCGGGCATCAAAAGGTAAGGAGTCATCTGTTTGACCACCCCTGAGGCACCTCTGCTTCCTCCAATACCACACCCCTTACACGGCGAACACAATCATTGTATTCAGGTGCAATACAAATAGAACTAGTTTATACTCAACAATATTGAACAGCTTGAGACCATTCAATACTATCGACAAGACATTACAGAAAAGGAACAAGGCTATTTTTATTGGTCTTTTGCATGTAATACAAAAATATATCTTTTGTTAATCTCATACTAAACCATTGTCATTTTTTCCTCAAACAGAACTAATCGACAAGAGTGGTTATATTGGATATGCATTGTTCAATATAGACATTGTTGCCTGACATGTACACCAATTTCCAATCAATCCTTACACCCCATTATTTTCATAATTATTTTTGTTTTGCAAATTTGAAATATGTTGTTCAATTTTCCAATGAAATAAAAAATGTTTATCACATAAGTACTCTATTTTCAAGGTAAAAAAAGTCCGCTTTTTAAATTTGTGTTATTTAACACGTGTAATATGACTTTGTTGAGCAGTGATTGGCTGAAGGTTTTCATCCTGACTTGAAAACTTCATTGCCTTGCGGTTACATAAGTCAAATTAGGTTAACGAATAATTGCAGAAGTATTATGTCATGAAAAGTATGATGCATTTGGTTTTTTTTAGCACTCGGACGTTTTCGTTTTCGAAAGGAGTTTTCTCAGCAATATTGAAAATAATATGTGAAGTGCTCTGATGTTTAAGGACACATTCATATAGGTCCGATTGGTAATTAATGATAATTGATAAACAAACAAAACATAAATTAAAGAGACAAGTGGTGGATTCTTGGGACAGTATTGTAGACAGAAGTTAAGTTCCTCCAACCTGGACAAACACTGTGGTGGTGAGCCAGAAAAAAAGTTTATTTATGGCAATAATTTAACACAGAATCATACACGTGTAGTATCTCATTTAATGAGATTGATGGAATTTGTAACAAAAATATATCACCATGCCAGTCTCGGTCAACAAAACATTTCTAAGGCTTGATTCATGTCGAATTATTTTTCTAAACACAGGGGAAACACGTTGGCTGTGACAACATTCGTTTTAACTTCATATTGTCATTTGGCAGTTTTTCACTCGGGACAACAGAATGCGGTTTTTCAAATTGACTTTTACATAAACAGTGTTCCAAAGAGCAAAAGCTATTATTAGTGGAATTTTCTGATCCCAGTTTCCATTCAATTCTAGCTGTTGAAGCCATGGCCAATATCAGCCAATATACAAAAAATATCAAAATAATAAAATAACATTTTACTTAATATTGCTGTGTTGTCTTCTATTTGATAATTTGGCACCATTTTATCCTTTTTATTTAATGTTACTAAGCAGATACATATCCCAGATTTATTATCTACCTTTCTTGCCGACGTTGATTCCTTGGCAGGACAGTCCAACCACGGGTACCTCGAGACATAACAGTTTGTTGACGGTCTTCTCGGAGGCAGAGATAGAATTCACGTAATGGAGTTTTGGCTCCATACTGCCTCACTCACGCAGGTAAATCCAAGTTGTCTGTACACTTGATGTGCTGCTTGGTGATGTGACGTGCGCTTAAACCTTTCCTCACTGTTAACTTCTCTGTTCACTATGACCTGTAACCTAAAACTGTAACGCTTATCAATAGGAAATACATTTATTCCTATGACCTTCACAGGTATATATGTTTCAGGTATGTTAGAAGTTCTGTATCTAGGTTCATCCTACATCAATAATGCAGAACAGGTGATCGATGGCAGACAAACAAAAATGATCAACCTTGCTGGAGATTACCGATTTTCACGGGAAACAAATCTAATTCGCATGTCGCTTGGACATTTATAAATGATTGCTGTCAACTGTAGGAAATTGATATTTCTAGAAACGGGTTATTGACTTTTTAGACAGAGTTTACGTTAAAGCTGGACAATACATAAGTACAAAGCATTTCCGGTGAGCGTATTTGTAATGGGCATATATTGGAACAAAGAACAGGTTACTTTACATTGCGAGAGCAATTATGAAAATTGACATTTATTGACTGAAGCGAAGAAGAAAAAAGTGTATGAATCCATCGATACCAAATAATGATCGAGACATTGAAACAAAAGGAAAATCACCATCAAGGTGAAAACTAAGCTAGGGGTCTGGTTAGAGTGTCCTACATTATGTGTGGTAAGCGTCATTTTGTTCCCCTACACCGCATATATAATGACATAATGTCTTCTGTCACATCGGTTAGTAATAATCTATGATGTTATCCGTCGTCAAAATGTGTAATCATAGTACAGTAAATGTCATATTGTCTTCCATTACCACACGTGGTAAACATCACGATGTTATCCTTCACCACATGTAGTAAATGTCATGATGTTTTCTGTCGCAACATATGGTCTTTTGTCACCACGTGTGGTAAAGGTCAAGATGTCATTCGCCATCATATAAAGTAAACGTCATAATATCTTACCTTATTACATACCGTAAATGCCATGACGTCTTCCGTCATCACATGTAGTTAACGTAATTACTTCAACCGTCAACACATATAGTAAACATCATGATGTATCTCGTCACTACATGTAGTAAATATCATGATGTCTTCTCTCACTATATATAGTAAACATCATGATGTCTTCTCTCACTATATATAGTATATATCATGGCGTCATCTCTCACTATATATAGTAAACGTCATGATGTCTTCTCTCACTATATATAGTATATATCATGGCGTCATCTCTCACTATATATAGTAAACATCATGATGTTTTCTCTCACTATATATAGTAAACGTCATGATGTCTTCTCTCACTATATATAGTAAACATCATGATGTCTTCTCTCACTATATATAGTAAACGTCATGATGTCATCTCTCACTATATATAGTTAATATCATGGCGTCTTCTCTCACTATTTATAGTAAATATCTTGATGTCTTCTCGCACTATATATAGTAAATATCGTGATGTCTTCTCTCACTATATATAGTATATATCATGGCGTCATCTCTCACTATATATAGTAAACATCATGATGTATCTCGTCACTGCATGTAGTAAATATCATGATGTCTTCTCTCACTATATATAGTAAACGTCATGATGTCTTCTCTCACTATATATACTAAATATCTTGACGTCTTCTCTCACTATATATAGTAAATATCATGATGTCATCTCTCACTATATATAGTATATATCATGGCGTCATCTCTCACTATATACAGTAAATATCATGATGTCTTCTCTCACTATATATAGTAAACGTCATGATGTCTTCTCTCACTATATATAGTATATATCATGACGTCTTCTCTCACTATATATAGTAAATATCATGATGTCTTCTCTCACTATATATAGTAAATATCATGGCGTCTTCTCTCACTAATTATAGTAAATATCATGACGTCATCTCTCACTATATATAGTGAATATCATGACGTCTTCTCTCACTATATATAGTAAATATCGTGACGTCATCTCTCACTATATATAGTAAACGTCATGATGTCATCTCTCACTATATATAGTAAATATCATGACGTCATCTCTCACTATATATAGTAAATATCATGACGTCATCTCTCACTATATATAGTAAATATCATGACGTCATCTCTCACTATATATAGTAAATATCATGACGTCTTCTCTCACTATATATAGTAAACGTCACGATGTCTTCTGTCACTACCTATAATATATGCCATGGCGTCTTCCGGCTCAACATGTAGTAAATGCCATAATGTATTGTGTCACTACATGTGATAAAGTTCATGTCTTTCGTCACCACATGTAGTAAACGGAATGATGACTTTCGTCACCGCAAACTTAGCCGTCATGAAATTCTGAAATCATGTCGCATTTCAAACAATATTTTTACCGGTTATAAATGATCTGATACGTAATTGGTAAACATTGATGTCGACCCACAAATATAATACCCTATTTCAAAAATAACTAACTAAATCGTTTACTGAACAAACAAACGCAACCTTACGAGTATATTCATGAATAGGTTTCACACACCTATTTGTACTTGCAGAGATGAAGTAATTACGTAATATCAATATTGATTTATAATGAATAGTGTTTCGGTGTCTGGCGTACGTCAAAATGTTTATGATTGAAAGTACCTTTAAGAAATCAATACGATTATAAATAATCTCGAACCAAACTTTTGAACGATTCACAAACAGGACCCATATATACTTGTCATTATATCACAGTTCCATAGGTGTCTAGTCTATACTTCGCTCTTTGTTGATCTACAGACAATCCGTGGAGTCCTAGATACAAACAGGACGGTATCGATTAACGCGGTAAATGTTAGGTATGACTCAATACTTCACTGTATGTGGTAAGGTTTATATTGTCAGAACACTATCCGTGTCTATAACCATAAGTGGTGAGATTTAGTGGGGAGTAGTATGTGGTCTATATTGTACAGTGTAAAAGTGCTGGGATTTAGAGGATAACATTTCGTGGTATACTCACCACTTGTGGCGAAACTCGGTTAAGAATCTTATATTGAATAATCACTTTTTAACGTTGAGATTTAATAGGAAGTACTATATTGCAGAATCACTGTACTTTTTATGAAAAGATTTAAAGAGAAAGATTTTGTCCTGTAATCACTGTCTGAAGTGAAATTTTATGTCGACATTGAGTAATGTGATCATTATTTGTGATGAAATTTCGTGGGAATCATTATGGCGTGAAATCACAATTTCTGATGAAATTTAGTGGGGAACATTATGTGGTGTAATACACTTGATGTGGTGTAAACATTATTTGTGGTAAAATTTATTGTGGAACATTATGTAGTGTAATCAACATTGTGTGGTGTAAACCTTATTTGTGATGAAATTTAGTGGGGAACATTATGTTTTCCATTTGTGATATCATACAGTTGCTTCATTCTAGCACTCGTCAGTGATACTTAACGCCTTAATTTTAAAGCCTAGGAGACGACTGAGGAAAATCCAGGGTGATTGATAGAAAAAGTCAACATCTGGACGGGTAGAAACACTAACCCCATTACTCAATAAATTTCGTAACCTTTATATATCGAATATTTTTAGAACAGTGTATATGTGTATGGATTAAAACATGACATACAGGCTTCCGCTAACCTCGAGGACTAAAAGTCCACCAACAGTGGAAGATGACATTAGTGAAGATCAAAAATACAGTTGCAATGAACTATTAGATTATATTTTGTACCTTAAAAGGGATGTATATATTTTGTTGGTGGGATTAGCCTAATTTTACTTCCTGTTATGGTTATTACAAGAACTGATAACTGTAATAGCCAAGATGTCTGAATGTTTAAATTGCCATTATTTTAAGGTATCATTGTCTGGTTGTAGGACGTATCTTATACCGTCTTTTTTGCGTTTCATTTCGTTATTTATTGTCAAAATATCCATGTATTTATGTTTAAATAAATAAGATATAAAAACGGATATATCTTCTATGATCTGAAAGCACAATATGAAGCCATTTTAACGGTGTATGAGCCATTATTCCAGACTAAACTATGTGTATTGTACGGTAAGGCTTATCTTTGGATTAACCACAGGGCTTCCACACATGGTATAAGGGTAATCACATAGGCATTGTCAGTCATATACCACGTGTTTTGTCACTTGTACAGTCTATTGAAATACAGCTGTCAGAAGAACAGATATATGTGTACAGTTGTAACTACAGAAATAAGACTCAATACTAGTGTGGAAATAAGTTTGATGGCTTTCTGAATAATCCTGGTTTTAAGAGCAACATACTTTTTAAAAAGTATTATGGGCAACGGCTTAACACACAGTTTATATGGTAGCTTGAAATAGTATATATTCCCAACCTCTGTGTATAGCAACAGTAAATATACATGTTTGTATGTAAAAGACACGTAATTCCAATAAATATTTAATATCTATATCTTGTTTGTACAAAATATCTATAACTGTTGTGTATTTTATGCTTACATGATCGATCATAAATGAATTGGTAGTAATATTTAAATAGTTTACCTACCTTTCTATGGACAGGAAATAAAACTCGTCTGAAGTACAAACTCCGCTATCTCCTGTAATATGTCGTACTAAACAGATTTCACTATTCAATTAAGTGTCCCACTTCGTTGATAAGAGAACGCCACTGTATTGTATACTCAGTTACATGACAAAAAGACAATTTCCGTTTTCAATGCGAGCCATTTAAAATATTGTATGTGACTATATTAAACTTGCATTCAAAGTGACATGAAACCTGGCGATATGGGATTTATGCTTGATCGATCACAAAAAATGACCTGATCGTGCGCGGCTTTCACCCTCTGATCACAGGTATGTTTACATTGTACCATGTAAACTCTTCCATTCTTATAATGTACGTACCTTCTCAAAGACCGGCGCTGTTTGTCAGAGTCGATCAGCTTAACACCAGTTCCTTAAGGTAGTTAATCTGTTATAGTTATTACCATATATAGGAATCATTCAGTCATATTTCCTTCTCTGATGTATTTACGAAGAGGTGTAAAGATAAAAAAGAATGTTTTCGTTGCAAAAAAACATTCTGTTCTAGATTTGTGCCAAGCTGACAAGTCAGTGCATCTGTGACCGTTTTGTTGGTGTATTATACCAAACATACAGGCGTCACTCAAGCAACGCGCCTAATGTCTTAATTATACCAATGGATCTTTGCACTTAATAAGTTTTGATGAATATATTACTATATAGAATACTGATATTTCTTTAAATGATCCGATACAAACGTAAGGGCATATTAAGTCTTTTTTGTTTGAGGTGATGATGGTTAACAACATGGAAAAGTCCGACATGTTAACAGAATCCTAATCCAAACTCAAATTTAAAAAAAAACTAGGGCAAAATATGAACTAAAGAAAGAATTATATGGAGACTTCTGAAAATGTACAAAGAAAATGAAACCAGGTGTTTCGGAAAAGAAAGCGTTGCCTGTCTCATCGACCACACCCGTTATGTTGACGTTGGTTATTCAAAGTAAGTAATGTCACGTTCTTAAATGAGAACAAGGTACACAACACTGGGGAAAAACAGGCAAACTAACGAGCATCAAACACGCCCAGCTTCTTATCGCATTAATAGATAGAATATTTCCGAACGTGGTCACTATGACGACCGTAAAACTTTCCGAATATTTTCATCAATCAACATTTCTCAAACCCTTGTGTGAGTTTAATTGTCAGTTGTCGACACCTTGCACGAAAATCGTGATATTGGGAACATTCTTCTGAATATCGAATCAACTGTAACGTGTAAAACACATAGGTTGTTCAAGTAGAGATTTTACTATCAAGAACTGGAAATTTCAAAATAGGAAAATTGGAATCAATAAGTGCATCATAGAGCATGGAGGAAAGCTGTCGCAGGTAGTTTCCTTGTAAGGGAAAGATCGAGGTAAACGGCTGATGTAGAAGAGTCTGTTGTGTCCTTGATTTCCAAATGTGGTGGGTATATACGATGGACATCTCTTGCTATTTAAGACATGAAGTCATTAATGTACCTAAAAGTGAAATAGAATGACCCTACGAAGTCATTATGACCTGTTTTGATAAGTTCTTCAATTAGCCTCGTATTGAAACAGAAATTGCATGCTAATAGTCTGTTGGAAGATATTTCCACCAAACGATAATATTGTCAATAAGAAAAACGATTGCTCAATGCATCACAATTTTTTTTATTTTCATTGCATTAAGATTCAAGCTCATCAATGTAATACAGTTATTATTAAAGACCAATTATATACACGTCTCTCTGGCAAAGTGCTCAAGGAAATCCTTGTCATCTTATTAAATTACAGCAGATGCGGACATATTACATACAGACAATGACACTTTATATTTGATATACAGAAACTGTAAATTGAATCATTCATTGATACTTTAAAGTATATAACACGGAAACAATATATTCTGCCTTTGTGTTGTTTGCATCTTGATATCACAACCTATAGTTATCCACAGCTTGCATTTACTCCACTACAGACTTTATCCACTCAAGGTAAGATGTCACACGGGTGTAGATGTTTGGGTATCCGAAATGTTGGCACGAGAATGACCCCCATGACGTCACACCGGCCAGAACATAAAGTCCATCACGGAGGCAGACAAGAGGTCCCCCGGAATCGCCCTATATAACAAGGTAAGAAGTGATGTCAGATGTTGTGAAAAAAATGAGTTACTTAAAACAGTAGCGAAAAAAAAATTAATTTTTAAAGCGTAATTTGTTGTATTTGTATTAATCAATAAAGTGTTGAAATGTGCAATCAATTTTAATCAATTAGACCAGAATCTTTCTGTGATTTCTCAAAAACATTTAAAATGTATCAATTCAACGTATGTTATCAGCTTCATATATAAGAATATAAAAATATAATGAAAATTGATTTAAGCATGTTTTAATCTCCAAAGGTATCAAGGAATATTGAATGGCTCACACTGCACGCGCCGACATCTCCATGCCCTACACAGACGTGTCTGTCATTTATGACACCATTCCAGCTCTCATTACAGGCTTGTGTTGGAGTGATGGGCACTGTGATGTGTTGAAGATATTTCTCGTCACCAGTACCTAAAAAACATCAAATGGCCTCACAGTCGTTTTTAATGACGGACCCTATAATCAAGAAAAATGTTCCACAACATGGAGTCTGTGTAATATGTTGACAGCATACATGCGCTGGCCCCACTTGTATAAAACATCTCAACTTGAGATTTCCTCAACTTGAGATTTTCCTCAGCTAATATCTCCTTGAAAATATTTTGTATGAATTTCAGGACATCCTAGCCGATGTTTTCCTCCTGTTCCTTGAGAAAATTTTATACAAGCCGTTTTTAAGGGATATCAGCTGAGGAAAATCTCGACTTGAGGAAATCTCAAGTTGAGATGTTTTATGGAAGTGGGGCCTGGTGTTAAATTCCAGTATTTGTTATAAAAAAAAATCCAATGATCTCAAGATGTTGGTCTCGCTTCAACTTTGGGTGCAACATACAGCAATGCCTAAATCTGTACATATGGTCTAATTTTATCACGTCTGAGTAAGTGGTTCGCAATGGTACCAGAAGCATGGTGGCTATTCCTGATACTGACCGACATTTTTATACCCAATAGAACTCGTTGATAAGTTAATATTCTTCGTCAAGTAATATCTTTTGATTATTTGAAGCTGTATCTTTTAATAACAGACAGTTAAAGTCAAACGTTCTATTAGACTTTGGGAATGCCTGTTTTTTTGTTTGTTTGTTTTTTTTTTTTTTTTTTGTTCTGTATATTTATTTTCTTCTTTTCTTAAATACAGAGAACAAAATTAATGCCAATTTGATATATGGGCGGTCCCTAACATATGGCCAGGTGTGTATATTATTTAGAAGGACAATTTTACGTAGTTCTCTGTAGTACCATAATGATTTTCTCCAATATAATGTCTAAGAGGGCTTGTATCAAAAAGTGCTAATCAATTGTGTGTGTGTTTTTTTTTTTTTTTTTTTTGTAAATCTTCTTACCCATGGAGTTGCCCCAGCCACTGATAATGCAGTGGTCAGTTCCATCAAAAACATCCAATGCCCCCGGTAAACATGTTGTCCGCACATAATGTCCACTTATATCTACTGGTCCTTCCAGTTTGACGAGGGCAATATCATTTGGTGTTCCTCGTTGTGACGGTGCATATGCCGGGTGCTGGACAAACAAGATGAGATTAAACGAAAGTGCTATGGTACGTTGACGATCAAGCACTTTGTCACACACGAACTGCCATGCTTTAGCATAAATGTGATGTTTGTGTCCTATACGTGTTATTACTTACTTTGATTCACAAGGATTTACATAACGGGTTTCGTCGATGAAGCGGAAGACGCTTACCCTTCCAGAACACTAGCGTTGTTTTTGCACTTTTTAAATGGTCTAGGTGTAATTCTATCCTCTGTTTCCATTTTGAATAATGATTTTGCTGGCATATAACTACTTCCTTATTTGTTACAAGTCCATTGTTATGTTTAAGTACAAGGGCACGTTGAAATACAATGTAATTTCTATAATCTATAATATTATAGATAATGATAAGTGTTGATTTGTGACAAATGTCTGATAAGATATATATAATATAGTGTTTTGGCATGCATCACGATCCACCCCATTTGATTGGATCATTACTTTTTAAGGCTGGAAATTTCTGTCTTTGTCTAAATCCTACTTAAATTCATTGGAATAGTGGTACGGTTAAGAAATATAAACACATGGCGTTTGAAATTACCACATATATAAAAATTACGAAATTCATTCAATTAAGGGGCTTGTGTACTTCCCAATCAGTCGCCACCTGTGTTTCAAAATTTAGGTCATTTCGTCACTGACAAGTTAATAGAAATACGAAACAGTTTAATTATGTCACTATTTGGCTGTAGTATATGTAATTAAAAAATGGGTCTTGAAATGTGCAATTCACTTAAATATGTTGTACAATTGTTAAATAATCTACTGTAATAGATCGCTATGGTATTTATACAAAATCGAACTATAACATGTCTTGTAATTAATGATCACGATTTAACGATTATCATGAAACTTACAACTACCCACTCAGAAGTGGTTAATTTCTTTTCATTTCCAGAGATGGAATCGAGATGATGTTCCCCTAGGTGGATGGTCACTTCTGTTGGCGTGTGCCTGTGGAAATAATGGAATAGTAAAATAATTTAACAATACTGGCAATATTTAGCCTTGACAGGTTTTGTTGTGCAGAAATGGTAAGATGATATACTCATTCTGATACTACCTTTTATTCTTACAGGTTTGTGTTAGATAAATTGTAAATGAAATCATCATACTGATAACACATTTTGGTCTAAGCAAGTTCGTGTTATAGAAAGATGTCAAAGCAATTATTCTAATGCTCTTTAATCTTTTTCATTTTGTAAATGCACCAAATAAGTTACTGTCCCTTTGCATTTTATACCAAGTACTTCGATACTGATTGCCAGAGTTATGGTACTCTGAACTCGCGAAAAACAATTTCGCTTCCATAGCTAACAAAAACATTATTTATGTTACCTCTGAAGACAATGAGCGGCTGTCACGATCCATTGGTCACTGATGAGACTTCCTCCACAGAAATGACCAGTGACGTCATGGAATGACACCTGCCAAGGCCACTGGCCTTCTGAGGCCGACTGACCGCCCACTATACGGAGTCGAGGGTCCACAGTGGGAGGGTACAGTGTGATCTTTCCGCATTGGGATGTTCCTGCCATAACAACAAGGAGTTTGGTAGGCATCAAACAAAGGTAAGGTTTGTTTGAACATCGTGGTTTAAGTTACAAAGGGACTACAACCAGATTTTGAAAACATGGTTCTTCATTTACTTTAACTTTACTTCAACACTTACTTCTTATTAGACGTAATGAAAAAAAACACCAGAATCTCATTTGCTACAACATTTAACTTTTTAACTAATGTATGGTTTGTGTATATTTGGAAGGGGTTTAGCCTTAGCCTTAGACCCAATTCTTTTTGTATAGAAGCTCTTTACATTACAATTATCTTAATCAAAATGAGCCCTGCGTATTGATGAGTAGGACGTAAAAGTAAAAACGTTCATTGGGGGTGATGTTGGCGAGGGGGGAGGGGAGCACGCGTAAGATGATAATTGACAGGTATAACCAAGCTGGTATGTTAAAAGTAATGGCTGAGAAGTACAAAGTGAAGGATCGTACAGAAGACAATCGAATCGTCTGCAATGCTAGGGAGTTTTAGAGGGGGGTGTATCCTGTATTGAAATATAGACTGTGAGTTTACGTAATTCCACAGTTTAAATAATTTTTAAATAATCGGTATTGGACGACATTTATAGAAGATCAAATACATGCGTTTATTGTGTCACTATTCAGACGAATTTAAACATGGCGTGTAAGTAGTCTTCTCGTAGGGTATACCAAAACGATCTCGAAGAAAGGCTCAAAATACGGTGACTGTATGACATCTTTCAAATTCGTTTAACTAATTAATCATATAGTGTTAGATTGTACAATTTTGTCATAAGAACACACCTGGATGAGGTAGATAAACGCTTCCATCAGGTTCCACACTACCAGCGTCTTCGTCTCCCACAGATTCAATCGGACTTGAGTCCGATTGTTCTGAAGGAATGTCCACTGTTTCTGTTGGTAAGTGCACTAAACAGCATACGCTATTCCTTTTACAGGCAATAGTTTGGTCCGAAACTAGTCCACTACAACTCGAAGCCTTGGTACACTGACCCCCAGCGGATCTACAGGACTGCAAACGATGAGCATCCCTGGCGCCTTGCAAGATAAATTTAGAATTCACCTACCGTGTCTTAGCAAAAATGTATGATTTTAATTTTTACCCAGAATTTACAAACCTGATCTTATTGGACTCCATGTCACCATTAGGATTGAGATATATAACAAGTAATGTATATTAAGTTGGGATCTATTGGTAAACGTCTCTCATAGGAAAGTTAAAAAAACAGTTCCTGCATCGTTCGATAGATTAACACTTAAATTCACACATTGTTAAACTTTTTTTTTAATATCATGTGTATAATAGTAAATCAGTTTCTCCTAATACTGCTAGAAAATTATTTTCAAAACATAATTTACCTGAGCTGTGCCTGACACACACGAGAATAAGACATACCGCTAGAAGTGTCCTGATCATAGTTAAGGTCGTCTTGTACTCTGACTGACGACACTTTGATTGTGATTTATATATGGAAGGAGGAATGTGAAACATTCCTTGTAATTAGATTTATTAGTTTTTATTAGGTTTATCACCATAAGAACGCTCGAGGACTTAATTTTGATATCTTAAAGAGCCAGACCCATTCCTAGACCGATATTATTTTATATAAAAAAAATCATGATTTTCTATTTTCTCGGGTAGCAAATGTTCTGACTAACCCTGTAATACCGCAATTTTAAAGTAAATCGCTACCAATCTAACGTAATAAATTATTTTAAAAAAGAATTCGAAACGACTCAGTGCTTATTCATAATTATGCGAGAAGTCCTACCCTCTGACGCATGCGCAAATAACTGTAAATAAATCTGCAGTCTTCCAACATGGAAGAAAGCGTGCGAGGGAAGCGGTGAAGAAAACGTGTTTTGACGGACTCTGAGGCGAAAAAAAGGAAGATGACGGCTGGCTCATACTCTGTATCGCTCTCTGTTTGGCTCTATCGTATAGTATCACTCTTAAATCATATTCATAAATACTCTTATCAACGAATATTCGCTTTTGATAGATCCATTTCACGATGTTCCATATGTTCGTTACCGTATCGTAACACCCCTTTGAGGGCCTCTTTGCAATTAATCGTAGTTTTTCTCGTAATCTGTACGTTTTTGTGTCATATCTAAGCATTGAAAGATGTGATCAATACATACGTTAGATGATTTCTATACAGGATATATAGAGTATTGATTGCATTTATCGGTAAATGAGCGATGTCACATGTACTACTCATCTCTTCCTCCGTTTTTGTTTTGGTTCTGACTGCGTCTGAACTTATCACGTGACTTTTCCTCATCAATATTTATATACTGATGTGATTAATGAGATTAATTCCGGCACGATATCTCCGGTACCCTTTCAATTTCAAGTTCGAAACTTTATACAAGTCTTTATATATATATTATCTATTAGTAAACAACAACATTTCCAGTCAATAAAATATAAAAAATATTTATAACGGAGTAGGTCTGGCTCTCCAAAAATTTTACAAGATTCATATTAAACTCTCCACTTCACATATTAGATCAGACCGTAAATAATCCAATTTTTGCAACTTAGAGTTTCGACCCCTGTCATTAAAAGAGTGGATTGTAGTACGACTGAGTGTAGGTATTTATTATTGTCATATGTGAAACTCGCCCCTACTTGACCCGCGATATCAAACAAACGATATTTATTGCAGTGGTCATTATATGGTCTTCAGAAGGAAAGGTACTACTGACCACGATTTATTGGTGCAAGTAATTTGGTTTTAAAACTGCGGATGTCTAAAAAGTCAGTCGCAAACCATTGAATTCTCTTCAGAGAACAATTCGGGAAATATAGTGTTTTTCTACTTAAAATAGCTCCTTATATCTAAATTTCAAATCTGAATTAATGTATTTCCTCGAAAAAAAAGTCTTATTGAAAACAGAGAGTTGTTCATTGTACAATACGATAAACACTGAATATGTTATCAAATCCTAGTTGACTGGGCAATCACAAGTGTTTAGTTGAGTGAAATTTAGAAACCGGTTTCCTAATTGTATAAAAATGCAGCACTTTATTTAATGACGATACAATGTTTATGGTATAGGACAAACAGAAAAACACCTTCTTGTCAATATAATTATCATACAAACGCATATGGAATAAAACTAGGTCAAAATATGAACAAAAGAATTACACGGATATCTATAATAAAGTACAATGAAACCAGGAGTTTTGGAAGAGTAAGCGTCTTTTGGTTTCATAGATGACACCCGCCATGTAAATCTTGGTCAATCCAAGTAAGTAATGTCAAGTTCTCAAATGAGGACAATGTATACAACAACGGAACCAATAGGCAGACTAACAAGGAACAAACTCGTCCGGCGTCATGTCGCACAGAGAAATAAAAAAAATTTAATGAGATCACTATAATGACGTTAAAACCTTCCCATCTTTTTTATCAACATGCATCTTTTAAAAATTTATGTTTGTCCGTCAGTTGTCGACTTCTTTCGAGAAATTTGTGATAATGAGAACAAACCCTTGAATATCGAACAACTGCGAAATGTTTACACCATAAGTTTTGGATGCAGAAATGTTTCTATCCCGAAACGTAAACTTCACAATAGGTAAATTAAAATCATGGCGCTTATCATACAGTTTGGTGGAAAGCTGTCCATGTTAGTTTCTTCGTAGAAAAACATCGAGATAAGCGGCTGATGTAGATTAGTCAGTCCTTTCCTTGAATTTCAGTTCTCATAGGTATGCCAATAACCTGTTGAAAAATATTACCACCAACCTCTACGACGATGTTATCGACAAGAAACTCTGTTATCTTTTCTTTATACAATTTGTCCTTCGTATATTTCTACTTTGATTTGGACGTATTTTTCACGAAATACATTTCAGTATGGGTCACAACTACATATGTGTACCGCATTTTATCATTCATGTAATAGAAAGCCCTAATAACAAACATTAATATGATTAGAAAAAACGCTTCTCGTCTTACATTTTAAAGCAATTATAAATAAATAGATCACATTTGTTTCTGTAAAAGTTACCTCCCTTATGCCTCATTTACACTCGTATATTGCCTCAATAAATCTGAGTTGTCAAGCGATCAGCTGACCTTTCCATACAGCCATTACGAACGATCTCTAATTTATTGGTATCCATTAGCTTCCGTCATGTCGTCAGCGCTAATCGTCTAATTAAATTGCACCAATAATCAAGTAACGGTATTATTTGGCCGCGCGTGCCGGTCCGAGTAGTCCTATCAGCTTTATAAATTACCTGTTATTGGCAGTATTTGCACATCTCATTCCGGATATGTAATCATCGGCTTTGTCTGATTATTAGAATCGCTTCGTGTTTGTTTTATTATGAACTAATCGAATATTTTTATCGTACTTGATGAAAGGACACTGATGCTATGCATTTTCTCTGTCTTTCTCAGTATTACTTTTTCACATTGCTACTCCCACATCCACACCGTCTATCAGAATTTCATTGCATATCGAACCAATAGCCGTTCTCACAACCAAGTGAACAACACGTATACAACCTCAACTCAAATTGCCCTATTTTTAACACAGTTTGTATGTCAATAAATTATGATGTATGATTAAAATGTAATCGACCGTATTTCATCGAATGCATACATGTTAGCTATGTATAACTAGAGACGTTCCAGCTAGGAAGTGCCCCATATTGCATACATTAGATATATTTGACTAGATAACACAATGTATATCAGAAACACTATACTTCATTTCCATTCCCAGGTTTTTTTTCTGACATCGACTGGTGCATATAAAATCCTTTACCTTCCAATGATGGTATAGTGGTTTTGCTCTAAGGTTGACAAACATGTGATTTTTAAGTATACTGTCAACAGAGCCTTATGAAGTGAGGTTTGTGACTGACTCTCATTTGTGATTTAAATTTGAAAGTTGCTTAAATTCGTGATAAAAAATATAGCAATGATTATTGATCTTCAAATCTACTTATTTGTGAATTTCAAAATTCATATTTTAATTAAAACATCTCAGATGATGCTAGATAAAAAGACAATAAATGAGAACTAATATTAATATACCTCAGCAGGACAAGAGACGTCTCAGTACAGTATTTTGCATTTTGTGTAGATAGGCCATGATAAGACAGAAAAAAGCTTCTGTTCAAAGAGAATCTTTTTTGGAAGAAATTTTGGCTGGGTATTTAATTCAATAAGAAAAATATAATTGTCGTAATTCAGATGTAACCTCTACTACGGAAAGGCATGGTAACGATCATGAAACTTAAATCGTCATATGTTTCATACATTTTGAAAAGGAACTGCTGTCACAGTGTGAGTGGTTATCTGTAAAGGAGTAACTTATAGGATACACGGATCTCTCGAACTTCTGTTTAGTCAAGACTTATGTTATTGATACCAGGAGCAGACAGGTAGTAAGGCAAGCCATTTCATATAGATAAAGTTAGAGTTATTTTTTCAATCATACGTTTCTGAACTCAATGCTGTTTTTGTATATGTTTTGTATTCTTTGTAGACAATTAGGACATGCATGATGTTTTGCAGAGTCAAATTGTAAACGTTTGACATCAGAACGAGAGCATCAATCAACTGAAACGATTTTGTATATGTAACTAAGACATAAGTGTAGATATCCGAGATTTTACATAGAAACAAAGTTAACACACATTATGAAAATGGTCGGTGAAGATACGTTTTATATGATACCTCAACTAACATAGTAATTTATTTACCACTGAAGTAATGTTGATTTAGCCTGATCACACTACCAGAGAGGGTGCAGAACTACCAGCTGGTTGTTTTGTGCAGTGTAAGGTACGTTTTGACCAAATACTGGTGATATTTACTTATGATAACTGAGAATACATTATTTACTATTGAGACAATTGTTAACAGTATTTTTTAATTACTTGCAGCATTAACCAATGTGATACCTGTTTATAGTATTGTGTATTGTGACAACTGTATGTCAGTTTAAGTACAAATGTGACGATGGTATACAATATAGCAAATAATGATTCCACCCATGTAGTGGTTTCTCCAGAGAAATGATATTTGACACGTGTTGATTTTACATTCAGACGAGTAATGATTACACTTTGTCGTTAAGTAATAAAATATTAAAGTAGTTAAGTAATGAAAACGTCCAATTCAATATTCACACATTAGTATTCACATGCTAGCAAAAACAGCTGTTTACTTACATGTGTGATTTAATTCACCATGACCTATCCAATGCCGAGCCACACATAATGTTTGGATAGCTGTGTGATAACAAAATGAACTATACAGCTTGGGCAGACATCAGTCAATGTTCTAACGTGTACATGTGATGAATAGTAAATTTGACGAAAACAAAATCGATGAATGTTCAGCTGACCATATTTGTTTTATTTGTGCATGCATTGTTGCCATA